TCTCTTACGGTTTCATTGCCCCTGTGCGTTCCAGAGCAAGACAAGTCCAAGTATTTTCATCGTTTAGATCACTCCACCGTAAGGTTTATACAGAAGCCGTGTTAAAGAAGTTGTTATTCATACGTACTCATCCTTCTGATGAAGTAGACAACATTTGACCAAAAGTTATGCAGGAGGTAGTCAGTGGTCTATCAGAACCATATCCCAGTTTTTATCATCGTTGTCTAGAGGAGAACGAAATCTAACAAATGTGGCATCTAGGGATCATCACTCCTATTCAGAAGGGAGTTTGTCGCACTATGCCAACTAACGTAAGATAAAGCAAATTCCTGTGCTTTATAAATTCACTTCAGTTACACTGAAGAAATAGCTGGAAAACCATAGTAAATATCATGGAACAGCATAGCTTCCGCCAAAATCCCTCATTCGCTACTAACCTGTTACTTGTACGCGGCAGCTGCACCGAAGAACTTGATGATCGGGCGGCAGTCTATGCCATCTACCTGGACTTCTCAAAAGCGTTTAATCGCTTAAAAGAGCAACTGTTCCACCACAACCGTGGGAAATGTGTGAACGATACGGTAATCTAGGATGTTGACACAAGTAACTTTTCTTTAGTTTTCCAGCCTTGGAACTCTCCCAAATTCAGTTGTCAGTTCCTTTAATCTGGAACTCCTCAAATAACCATTAGATGTCGACCTTCGCTCTCGTCATTATGTTAAACTGTGCTGCTGTGTGTCCATATACCACATGAGGATTATTCTTCAACCCGATTGAGAGAATGCGGTGTTTCACAGGCTCGGTGCTGGAATCGCTCTTCATTCTGGTATTTACCAACTGCGTGGCAAAGATTATGGCCTCAAAGTTCTTGCTTTCCATCGAGGAAGCTAAGATACAACGATCAATTAATAGCAGTTAAGCTTACGATCTCCTCCAATGTGACTTGCATTGCGTACACAGGTGGTCAAGGAGGAACTTATTCCAGTTCAACACAGCCAAGTGCAAGGTAGTTTACCTGTGTCATCAGTAAGTTAGAGTGTACAGGCTACAAATGAGCCTGCCTTTAGGATACTGGTCCAGGACGACCTCGGCTGCTAGAAACAATTCGGGAAGGTGCTGAGAATCGGTACTCAACATGTCAGCCTCTTCAAGGAGCATTCAGTCGGTGTAACTCCTTAATCTACCTACAAAAATGCTTATCGCTTATGTGCGGAAACACATGGACCACACAATCCAGGCGTGTCACTCGTAGCAGGAACAAAAGCTTGGTGCTCTCAAGAGCACTAAAAGAAGCGCATACAAGAACGTAAAAGGCCTCTTCTGTCTACACTAGTAGATTATATTGAATTCCCTTGGAATGGACAGCAGTCGATATAGGCGTCTACGGGCGCACCTACTAAAGGAATGCCAAATCCTAAAGAATCCGAACTACATTTGCCGCCCGCGGCTGGAAGTGAACAAAACCAATCTGTGAATTCACTAGATACAGCCGTCAATACAGCATAGTCCAATGGAATGCGGACGACATTTCTACTCCATCATAATCATACACGTCAGCTAGAGGTGGGAAACACCTCAGCTACTGTGCCGCCATACATAAATGAAAAAGGAAAATAAATACAAAAGTTGCGTGCCAGTTAAGCTAAAAGAAACGAATAGGCATGGTTCCGGTAAGCTACCTGCCAGCTACTAGGCAAAAAGGAAAAATTATCAAGTTTTACGCTAAGAAATAAGATCGTAGGTGGAGGGAGAGGCTAAAAAAAGATGGACAGAGGCAAAGAAAATCACAGCACGAACGCCACTGTAGTCGGCTCCTTGAAATGCCAGCAAGTGTATCCAGCCAAACGAGTACATAGTCTTTCGGACCCCAACCAGGGATCCCAGACGCTCCAAATGAGGCCACCTCAGATGTGAGGGGCCTCATTCCTCTCGACCTACTCATCGCTTGGCCGCCCCTCCTCTACTTCCTTCCACATCCCCGGTGAGCAAACAGCGCATGTCATTGAAGTCGATGGGCTGACATGCGCAACACGTGGCCTAGCCATCGGAGCCTGGAGCGTGAAATGACGGTGCTGAGCGATTCAGTTCATTTTCCTGTGCCGTAAACAAGGCGTAGAACGCGCTCGTTGCTCACAAGGTGTTCCCACCAAACGTGAGCCAAACTGCGAAGGCACCAATGGCAGAAAGTCACTAGCCTCTTCATGTCCGCCGATCTTAAGGGCCGGATTTCGCAACCAGAGTATTTTCAGCCCGGGGACTCAGGACAATACCAACACCGGCTTGGCCGGTGCTCAAAGCTACATCTTCACCGGATAGGCGCAATGAGAAAGTGCTGCTAGTTTCGCCTGAAGGGGATCGCAGAGTGAGCACAGAGATCGATTCTTTCAGGCGTGTCCCCGATAGGCATCAGATATTGATCGAGAGGGTCTCTAATGTTCGGGCAAGTGCTGCCTGTTGACTGATCTGAGGCGATGCGCGAACATTGAGGCATACTAATCGGAAGGAGAATCGGTGGCTCCAAATGGAAGCAGATGAACTGGGCTTGGCGCTTGCTTGGACATGGGCTTGTCGACAGGGCAGGAATAACGCTCCGGGTTCACATGTGCTTTAAAACTAGATGCTAAATGCCTAGCAATGCAAGGTGGGGATGGCCAAGAATTTGGGGGTTGAAAATAGGGGGAATAAAAGTGAAACTGGAACGGGACGGTAAGAGAGAAAATGCGTAAGGGGAGGAATAAGACGATGGGAAGGCTTGAGCAGGAGCATCCAAACCCTATCCACCCTGCTCGATGCAGCAGATGGAGCACCGTTGATTATCCTCTGCGGCAAGCAGAGCATCAGAAATTTGTTTGAAGAGAGATTCATTATATTGCGTGGGCATGATACTGTCAGGTTGCCCCGGCCTAGACAGGAGAACGATTAGGGTTCTCAACCAAAGCCTTTAGTTCAAAAACCTGTCCGCAAGGCAACGGGTTTGGCATTGGGCTACAAGGAGTCGGTTTTAAGGAATAAGGAGCCACCCTCATTCCAACCCCCAACCTGGAGGACCAGGAGGCTGAGTTTGTCTTGCCTCTAACCATTGACCAATCTGGTATGAGTGGCTCTGGAAGTGCAAAACTGCACCCCCAGCATAGCTCAATGGATCTCTGAGACACACAAACCATCGCACCACAGTAAGGTCCAGCCTCATTGCGATGTCCATTCGGTTTAGAACGAACCTCATAATCTATGGATCGTCACCGAGCAGGGCAAATGTAAAGTTGCCTGGAAGAAGATCTGTGCCAGCAACCTGGAGCCCTTCAGAAGCGCTTAATAAGTCATTTTCAGTTGCCAAGTTGACGAGAAACTGGACTGGGTCATCCTTGTCCCACACCGCTATTGACTGCGAAGGATGAAAATAACTTACTGTAAGCCCTCACTCAGCGAGAGAGATTGTTGCATTTTGTTTGAAGTATAGCAGTTAACTATTCGGGTACCACCATTTCTTTCCTGACAACGCCATAAATCCGGCCGTTTGAATGAGTCGAGCTTGACTTGTATGTCCAAGAAGACGACATTGGTTGTCTGGCGGTAAAAGTGGCGTTGCTCCAGGATTTGGCGGAGCGTAAACATGTGATCTAGACAACCTATTTCTTCTGGGAGTGTAGTTCTCGAATCAGTGTTTGCCTGCGCAGTGGGATGGATACTAATGATTCGCAAGCGACAGATATTAGACTGATTCCACTGAGATTGACACATAACATGCAGGCACACAGTCTAATGATCGGTACCAGGATCGACGCCGCAAGACGTTGAAACCTTTCCTTCACATCAAATCTAGGAGAACAGAGTTGTTAGTTGTTTGACAATCGCCTCGCCACCGTACTTGAACAGCTCCGGAGGAAGTCCGTCTGAGCCAGCAGCCTTAAAGTGCTTCATTAGACGGAGCTCAAGGCAGACTGGTTCGGCGAGTGGTACCAACGTAATGTTCAAAGGCGTGCAACCATGCGTTCATGTTACACAGCCCTAAGAGGAGATCAACCGAAATGAGTGTGGACTGATCAGTCTAGCAGTCCATGCGAACACTCAAATTGGTGATTAATGATCCATCAACGTCGTAAACAGCTTCATTGCTGCCAGATCTTCTGTGACCAACAGTTAATACGGTAGACGCTTGCACATATGACTCATCCATTTTTTTGGTTTTTACCTCCACAGTCCCATGGGATTTGCCAAAATCTTCTAGATTTACTCATGAAAAACCATCGTTAATTGTTCGAATTATTTAACCGCATGCATTTTGTAAAACACCAGCTACGCAGATGAAATGCGCTACTAACCTGTTTCTGGAATGGGACTGTGAACCTTTTAACTCTAAACTCTCTGGGTAACATTAGATAAACTGCTAGCAAGTATCCAGCCTCAGAGTTTAGCCGAAGATGTCATTACGATTTGGTTGAAACGCCCGCAGCCAAACTACCGAACTCTCGAGTAAGTTAACACCTTAGCAACCAACCAGGTTATTTCAGGTTTCTGGAGAGTTTGCCTGGGATACGCTTAACTGTCGTTTGTACCAGGAAAGCCTGTAGAGCCCTGGCTGCTCTTTGGACGATTACACAAAAAGTAAAGGAAGTAGCGTAGTCAAACACAGGGTAGTGCGCTGTGTCAGGACCTTCTTTGTTCACTTCCTACTCTCATGATTTGATCCTACAATGGTTCGTATGTCGTCGCTTAGTCAAGAGGCAGAAGAGAGCGTCTGTACAGCAATCAGTATACCCAACATATGACCTTGTACGAGTGACCATTGGTGAAGGTAGCTATAAGTGTATAGAACCAGAGTATAACAAGCTTAGTCAACCGTTTGTGAACACGTGACACGTGCCACTGCGGATTTTAATTCTTCTGTGTCCCTTAAACCCTCATTTTCTAATCCAGTACTCTGATACTTAGTTGCATTGTCAAGTTACTTTTTTGTCGTATTATTGCTTTACATTACTGACGGCTTCCCATTATTTACACAGATCAGCGACTGCTACCTATTGAGCAGGCGACGATGTTCTCACCCGAAGTGCTATGCGAAGAGGACTCAGACGATGAGCAACTGAACCAATCGCTGCAAGCGGCCGGGGCGGAGATACTAGCAAATGAGTACGGTTTCATCCCATTGTAATCCCGTGAACGTCTGAATAAGCCCCAACTCATTGTACTCTTGCCTTATACACTGCCACCTAGGTGACAAATTGGCACTTCATCACAGTTGACAGCATCAAGACCAATGAGAACGCAATAATCCAATGCTTAATCCTTATATCGATTTCAGATATGGTCAGGTATCATGGATATGGAAACAGCTGAGACGCCGACGAAATTCACTCCTTCCAGAATATGAAAAGGTTCTGTCAAATATTGTGCGGGAAATGAAAGTTATGCAGGAAGAACACAAAAATATGGAGAATATAATTCAACAGTACGTCACAATTCCTTGGTGTTTACAGTGGCTAGAATCAATGCTGTGCATCTTAACTACATTCTGAAGTCAGGTCGACTTTTTGCAAGTTATCGACGAACAATATGTAGGAAATAAGGCTATGCATAAATAGTGGCATCCGGTTTGGGATTTGCTTGTCACTGTGGCCAGCCACAGGACGCCTGCACCTACAGAGGGACCACGGGTGGCTTGTGCTGCACCACCCACAGTTCTAACCACACACCCAATAACCAGTGTAAACCCGAAGGAATAAGACCAGGATGCATGCGAATGGGAGCCAGGTTTCATCAACGGAGCCGCCGCACACTCCTTAAACAAGCAGAACACCAGCATTCCGGCCTAATTGGGAATTCATGCACACCATATATATATATATATATGTGTATATGTATATATATATATATATATATATATATATATATGGCGGCGGCTGGATCGTAGCCCGTTCCAAACAGGATGGAACCCCTCTATGAGCCTAGCATCGTCACGAGGGCGGTACACTCCGTCTCTCCAGCTATGACCAACTGTCTTCTGGAGTCAGTATGCACGAGATAGTGCGTAATATACAGGTAGACACTATGTCAACCTTCATATCAAGCGAATCCACAACGGGGATATCAAGCAACAGCTAATCAATTGAAGGACAATATCAAATAAAATAAACTGAATAATCCATAGAGATACGGTGACATAGCTCCACACTAAATAAGAGTATAAAATAAATGGTTATGAACCAATTCGCGACAAGTCCAAGACGTCAGAAAATGTATTTTAAGGAAATGCCATAAGCGCGAAAATGTTACCTAAGTTAAGTACCATTTGTGTAATTAATTGTAGTTAACGTACCTCGCAATGGGGCTGCACCTTACCGTGATGCGATGGTTTGTGTGTCTCAGAGATCCATTGAGCTATGCTGGGTGGTGCAGTTTTGCACTTTCAGAGCCACTCATACCAGATTGGTCAATGGTTAGAGGCAAGACAAACTCAGCCTGCTAGTCCTCCAGGTTGGGGGTTGGAATGAGGGTAGCTCCTTATTCCTTAAAACCGACTCCTTGTAGCCCAATGCCAAACCCGCTGCCTTGCGGACAGGTTTTTGAACCAATGGCTTTGGTTGAGAACCCTAATCGTTCTCCTGTCTAAGCCAGGGCAACCTGACAGTATCATGCCCACGCAATATAATGAATCTCTCTTCAAACAAATTTCTGATGCTCTGGCCACCGCAGAGGATAATCAACGGTGCTCCATCTGCTGCATCGAGCAGGGTGGATAGGGTTTGGATGTTCCTGCTCAAGCCTTCCCATCGTCTTATTCCTCCTCTTACGCATTTTCTCTCTTACCGTCCCGTTCCAGTTTCACTTTTATCCCCCCTATTTTCAACCCCCAAATTCTTGGCCATCCCCACCTTGCATTGCTAGGCATTTAGCATCTAGTTTTAAAGCACATGTGAACCCGGAGCGTTATTCCTGCCCTGTCGACAAGCCCATGTCCAAGCAAGCGCCAAGCCCAGTTCATCTGCTTCCATTTGGAGCCACCGATCCTCCTTCCGATTGGTATGCCTCAATATTCGCGCATCGCCTCAGATAAGTCAACAGGCAGCACTTGCCCGAACATTAGAGACCCTCTCGATCAATATCTGATGCCTATCGGGGACACGCCTGAAAGAATCGATCTCTGTGCTCACTCTGCGATCCCCTTCAGGCGAAACTAGCAGCACTTTCTCATTGCACCTATCCGGTGAAGATGCAGCTTTGAGCACCGGCCAAGCCGGTGTTGATATTGTCCTGAGTCTCCGGGCTGAAGCTACTCTGGTTGATTGGATTCCAGTCAGTAGCCGGATGTTTGCGGTCCGATTGCCTGGCACGTTCAAAGCTTTGAAGTCGTGCGGGACTAACAGGTGTCTATTCGTTATCGCTGCCTATGCACCCACAAATTTTAGCGATGATTTGGTAAAAGATGACTTCTCTCTCCAGTTGAACGGGATCCTTAGCTACAGACGCAGCTCGGACACTTTAGTCCTGGCAGGGAATCTGAACTCCCAAGTTGGAAAATTATCCAATGATGAGCTACCTCTGGGCTGCCAACATAGTGTAGGCTGCAGTAATGATAACGGTGAGCGGTTACTTCATTTGTGTGAGGATGCTTGCTTATTTCTTGCGAGCACTAATTTCAGACACAGCACCCGCTGGAGGGTGACTTGACGCCCACCAGCCTCGAACCAGATGTGGACTCAATTCGATCACATTGCGGTAAGTTACCGATGGAGAGGTTGCGTCCAGAACTGTCGCTCCATTTGGTGCACACGTATAGACGCCGACGATGCACTTGTATGTGTTGACCTGCGGAAGCGCTTTGGCGGACATCCAAGACGACTTTGTGAGCGCATTGACACCAGCCAATTGGCGAACCCTGCTGTTCTGGATGCGTATCGAAGTATGCTGACATGCGAGTCGAACAAACGTTCACTGGCTGCAATTGAAGCTCACTGGACTCATATTCACCAGACCTTACTAGCAACAGGAAAATCCTCATGTGATGTGTCTAATCGCCAACATGGACATCGGTTCTCTTCTCATTCTCTAGAACTTATAGATGCACGCCGGCATATTCCGGCTGGAATCGAACACAATAAAACTGGCAAAGAGTTCCGGGCAAAACTCCATGCTAGCCTGAAGAGAAATCGCGAATCATGGTGGTCTCATTTTGCATAAGAGATAGAAATGGCCGCTGCCCTTGATAACCATCCTAAGTTATTCCGGCTGATACGGGAAACGGGCAGCAGGAGACCTGATGTTAGTGAAACTAGACGTGACGAGAGTGGACAACCTATCCACAACTTGTTAAACGCTCGAAGTGTTGTGCTGAGCAGTTTGAAAGGAAATTTAATCGGCCGGAATCGTTAGATTTCTCGCCGGCCACTGATCGCCCTGCACCGTGAGCTGTCCCTTTGGATCCACCCTCCCGCTCAGAACTCGAACGTGAGCTCGGACTGTTAAAGTTGAACAAAGCCGCTGGACTAGATGATCTTCCTCCAGCCCTCTTCACATTCGGAGGCTCTGCTCTTGTTGATGCTTCAAATGAATTACTAGTGAAGTTGTGGGAGCAGGAGACTGTCCCAACCGACTGGAGCCACTCCGTTATTGTTCTCATCTTCAAAGCAGGCTCGCGCTCGGAATGCGGCAATCATAAAGGAATCAGTCTGATCTCCATCGCCTCCAAATTTTCTGCGTCTGTCATCCTTCACAGAGAGACTGGCACTTGTGAAAGCCATATTCGTGAAACGCAAGCCGGATTTCGTCGAGGTCATGGCTGTATTGACCACATCTTCCCTTTCCGTCTGTTGTTATAGCACCGTCACACATATTGGCGGCCCACCGTAGTCGTGTTCCTCGATATAAAAGGTGCATTCGATTCGGTGGATAGACGTGCATTTTGAGACTGTCTACTCAGGAAAGGTGTACCTGAGAAATATGTGAATATTATCCGAGAATTATATGCGCGTAGCACGGGCAGAGTGAGGGCTTACGGCAAGCTGTCGTCGCCCTTTAATATCTCCAACGGTATGAGACGAGGATGCCCGCTGTCATCTTTCCTCTGCAACTTCGCTATTGACGTAGTCATGGAAATCGCTTTCACAGTACTCGAATTAAGCAGTGTGGATCTGCTCCCAGATGAACGACTTCTTGACTTGGAGTATGCTGACGATATTGCCCTAATCTGTGAAGCTCACAAACGTGCCAAGCGGCACTGGACAGATTAGCACTGGCTGTTCGTCACTTCGAGCTTAGCTTTGCACCCTCAAAGTGCAAAACGTTCCTCCAAGATTGGTCTGGACCGCCTCTTATGCTGACCGTTTGTGGCGATCAGCTAGAAGTCGTTCAAAAATTCAACTACTTGGGAAGTTGCATCAGCGCCCGTGGGATTGAAGAGGAGATCAAGAACCGTAAATCAAAAGCTCGAGACGCTTTTACTAACCTCCGCTACTTATGACGCCGGCGCGACATCACTCTCGCCCTGAAGTGTAGAGTGTACAATGCAGCGATACCTTCCACCCTACTGTACGGTTGTGAAACCTGGTCCCTTAGAACAACGGACATAAAGAGGCTAGTTACATTCGACCACCGGTGTCTTCGCAATTTATCTCACATCTGGTGGGAACACCGCGTGAGCAACGAGCGTGTTCGACGCCTTGTTTACGGTACAGGAAAAGGAAATGAACGGCTCAGCACCGTCATTTCACGCACCAGGGTCCGATGGCTCGGCCATGTGTTATGCATGCCAACCCACCGACTCCCGCGAAGTGCGTTGTTTGCGTGCCGGGAGTGTGGATGGAACAAGAGGAGAGGTGGCCACGCGATGAGTTGTTCGAGAGGAATGAAGGCCCTCACTTCTGAGGTGGCCTCAGTTGGAGCGCCTGGGTTCCCTGGTTGTGGTCCGAAAGACGATGTACTCGCTTGACTGGATACACTTGCTGGCATGGCAAGGATCCGACCTCAGTGGCGTTCGTGCTGTGAGTTTCTTTGTCCTACCCCATCCCTCTTATCCCCCCTCCAACCACGATCTCACTATTTAGTCTTATATAATTTTGCATAGTAATTTTTTTCTGATGCACAGTAGCCGGCTGGTAGCTTACCGGAACGATGCCCATCTGTTACCGGTAGCTCAGCCAGCTTGCACCAGTCGCTTTTTTTCTCCTTTTTACTATGTATCGCGGCACAGTAGCTGAGATGTTTCCCACCTCTAGCTAACGTGTATGATGAGGATGGGGAATATTAGCGTTAACGACGTGTGCATGCTTATAGAATGTAGTTCAGGCAGGCATTATTATAAGATAAAAAAGCATTAAGACAATATAGCATACCCACCAACTGAAATATAGAGACTCGGCATGCATGCACGCGGTTAGTAAATCGAATGCAGCGTACCTGAAAACGCTGCGCTGGTAGTATATACTTTCACTAGTATACGGTGTCGCTTCACTG